TTACATGGACCATTGGTCTAACTCAGCAGGGCATTGCAAATGTTCTTGAAATGTTCACGTACACACTAGGAGAACCATAACACCTAAAAAGAATGCTTTGACAGGCTTCTTGACATTCAGCACAAAGGGATTCATTTCTATAACTTCCTGGCAATTCCCTCCACCTCTCCAGAAATGGACATACACCTCTCCAAAAATGGAGAGGTTTCTACTAAATGCTTTGATATTACAAAACTGTATTTTTAGGTGGGAAGTTGCTCCATCCAAACTTTTTTTCCCTACCAAGCTAAGTTTTAACTCATGAAAACAAAATCTTTTTTTTACTATAAAAATAATGGATGTTCCTTCTATTTCCTAAGCATAAAAATATATTGAGAATGATAAAATATACTAGTTTACTTATGTGACTCACAAACCCAAATCCATCTCAAATATGGCATGCATAACTATGTGTCTTTTGAAAATGGACTGAGATGCTTCTTAAAGTTCTACCTGATCTGCATAGGAAATGAACTACAGAAATTTGTTGCATTATGATTCTTGGCCTCTGGCTTACAGTAGCAAGTAAAAGCTGTGTAAGACCTACCATCTACCTTGCTGTGGTATTTTCAGACTTCACTCAGTCTTGACTAGGTTGTTCTTTGCACCAGATCTCAGTCAAGGGCTGTGCCACTTTTCTCCCCACCTGCCCTTGACCTACACGCTCACCTGTAGGGCCTGATTTGAGTCACATCTCTGCTCCATCTTCCATCAGCTGATTTCCAACTATCTCGCATCTATTCCCTTCTCAACTAACATCCAGAGCAGAAAGAAATGGGCTATGGCACACTCTGCCTTAGCTATGTCATCATGCTGATGTCTGCTGACATGAAACTGCTAAGCTGATTCATCCCAAGTATAATACCCAAGTGGTTTCTTTTCAACACAGACTCATTTCTTCTGCCTGCATCTCTGGACACATGTGACAAGGCTTAATACACCTGGCAAGAATCCTCCCTCCAGCAATATTCTTTATTGTAAATGTGATTCGAACAGCACTCACACAGGGGCAGATGTTCAGCCTATCTGAGTGCAGCCTACAGAGAGAAGGGCATTTCTGAACTGACAGTCAAGAGTACTGTTATTCCATACAGATGTATTCCTGTTTCACATTCATTCCTCTAGGTGATTTCCTTAAAAATGCTGAACTGAGAAAGTTAGGTTACTTATGACCAAAAGATGCTACTGACACTAAAAGCTCTCATATTATTAGTTTTCCTCTAGTCTTTAATTATTTGTTAAAATTCATGGTCTATACTAGTCTCAGATTTAGGTCCCTATGTGTTAAGATGAACACAACACAGTAACTTTACACTTCTACAAATACTGTACTAGAGTGTCACATGCAGAAGTGTGTTATGCAAAAAGGTTGTTTATTTTTCCAAGTAATCATTATGCACGTTGTTTAACTGATTAAATCTACACTGAAAGGTTAAATCAAAGTATGAAATTGACTACGTATCTCTTGATACTTTATTATATCAAAATATATATCATGTTTATTTTAACAGAAAAAAAATTAATGAACAATAGTTCCTACTCTCTCAGAAGCATACTTCCAGCTCACAGCACTGCAACTTCAAAATGCTTTACAAGATCAGTTAGGTAATCTGCACATTAGCACAGAGACAGAGAAATACAACAAAGAAAATGAAATCCAAATGTTCAGTAGAAAATGAGGAATTTCACTTCAAATTGGAAAAAAGATTTTCTATGAAGGCATGTGCTATTAGGCAATTATTAAGTGAAGAGATTCAGAAGAAATGTCATGTTTACCCAGGATTATTCTGTAACAGATCAGTTCCATCATTCTGAAGCAACAGGTTTTGGCTTCTATAGACATAGAAACTGTCAGATGACCCACACCAATAGGTCAGCTCCAAATTCCGTTCAGTTGTAGGTAAATATTTCTTGATAGTCATCTGGTTTAATGATTTCTAGTCAGAGGATTGTGAACATCCAGTGCTTCACAATGACATATGCCTTAGAGTGAGCAGCAAATTAAAGCATCCATTTTAGTTAAAAATGGAATGTCCAACTATCTTGTCCAAGAATTTGAGAGTACAGGTTCACAACAGGTACCAAATCACGTAAGAATAGATTCATTTTAGAAAACAGAGATGGAAGGTGGGGCGGAATATTTCACACCAAGACTGCAATAATCTCATCATAAACCCATCCAAGGTCTTTTCCAGTATTCAGAATGGGTGGTAACTTATGAGGTCTGACAATTTTATGATAATTCAAGTATTCAGGACTAAAATCTCTCAAGAACCCTTTACAATATTGTAGGATAGTCTTTTTAGCTACTTGGTCAGTTTTGGCCTCAAAACTGTACCTCAGCCACTCACCTTAGCCTAGTTCAAACCCAATTAGCCTCTTTTCTCCAAAATCCAAACATTATCAAGTGCAACACAAAACAGCTACCAAAAACTATGGGATACGTCAAAAATCATCACACTATATATACTAAAAAAGGTGTAAGAATTGAACAGTACAGTTCATATAACCAATGCTGAAGACTGAATTAGGAGGAAAGAAACCTGGCAATAATCTTCTTTCCAGACTGGCTTGCTGTTGATACATTGCATGGGACACGTCTTAAAGAGCTGAGGATTTTTTTCCTCTAGGAAAAAATGATTTAATAACATCTCCATATATGGATTCAAACACTCCACAGAGTAACTTCATTGGTAAACTACAGAGGTAGCTCTAAGCCCATTACTAAATGCTGAGTTTTGCCATCTATCACCACCTGTTCTTACTGGAATTTGAGAAACTTGCCCTCCAAAGCCTCCTGCCCACATATCCCATCACAGAACACAAAAGCAGAGCAGAGCAACAAGCTCTGCTTTCAGTGCCCCACTGCTCCTGTAAGCTCTTCCTGGCAGCTGCAGCTTTGCGGGAATCCAGAATACTACAGTGCACAATAGTCTGCATCTGATTCTCTGCTTTTCCTCCTTGACATCATTTTGCATTCAGATACTATGCAAGCTGCTTCACATTATGCGAACTGCAGTGGTCTACACTGTTTGTCCTTCCAGTCTTTGGGAACTATCAACAGGCTAGGTGCAAAAGGTCCACCTTCATTTCAGAGGATCACACAGAATTTGCAGGGATTAGTTGATAGCTTTTTTGAGAGAAGGAGATGAGAAAGATCTCCCCCTTGTTATCAAACTCTGCAAATCTAAATTTCAAGACTGGATTCCCCTCCTCAGGGGAAGCAACAGTTCTGAAGTGAAAATGCTCTTTTATGATAAAATAAATAAAAAATCCACCCCAAACCCCAAAGCAATGGAAACAGAGGTCTCTGTAAGCTAAAGACTAATCACCACCTTTATGAATTTAGACACAAATATATTGTTAAAAAAACCCCCAACAAAACAGAATGGAGATGATGAATATATCTTCATTCTTATAAACTATAGGACACCTAAATAGCTACTGTGAAAAACAAACTGCAATGGCCCTGTAAAACTGCATACAAGCTGAAAGGAAGGTGACACTTCAACAGAGGAATCTGTTCCACAACAGTTTTCTTTCACAGACACTTCTATTAAAAGGAAAGCTTCATCAAAGTCACCATTGGAATTTATTTTTCTACTTACGCATATCTACGTGTACACACACCAACTGAAATCCACTGCATTCATGGATCTGTATGTGCAGTGACAGAAAGCATCTAAGACTATTCCACACACTCCATACTAGCACTTGCACAATGTACAGCTTGGCATGCAAAGAGTAAATATAAAACTTATACTCCAGATGTAGGCTTGTGTTTTTCACATTAAGAAAATAAATCCATGTGAAATATAAAAGTTAAAATATAAACACTTGACTGTTTCCTCACAGTCTGTTCCATCCTGGCTGTTTGGCATCCATCCTTTACAGGCCAGAAGTTTCACAGATGGAGTTTCAAATGCCCAGCAGACACAACAGAAGCTAGATTTTCAAAGATGCTCACTGCACAAAGAGCTGACATCTTTTGATGTCAGTCTAACCTAATAATTTATTATGATTTCCAATGCAAACTATTCTTAAAAACATCTTCCCAATGCAAATCAGAAGAATTTGGAAAAGCTTTTAGAATTTAAGCATTTTTTTAGAGCTTGTTTCCAGGATTAGATACCATTGTATCATTGAGATATTTGGCAGGAGATTTGTATTCACTTAGCTGACAAATCATAAAACACAACCAATTCTTCAATCTCAACCTTATCAAACACTGATCAAACATCAGCAAGAGCCTTGATTGTTATGAAAGGCACACTATTCCTGTCAGGAACATTCTTCTTCATTTTCCTCTGGGGAGAGGAGGAAGTTTTTGCAGAATAGGTTATAGTGAATCTGTGAAAACAGTAACAATCAAGCTCTTTGCTCCTAGATTAGGCAAAACTAAAGACTGAAACACACAAATTACAGGCCTTACCTTGCTCTGACTCCATTTGAGGAAATCCTGCTGCTTTCAACAGTATTTGGGTAGTTGCCTGTTTTTATTGGCTTATTTATCTATTTGTGCATTTACTTGCACAAAAAAAGCAAATCAATTAATTAATTTCTATCATTTAATTTAGGAAAAAAAATCATCACAGTGGTTTCTTTAACTGTTATGTCATATCTTAGTCATATTTAAAGAAATGCTGCCGGGGGAAGATTCCCATGACAAGCCTTTCACCAAAGAAAGATTTTAGGTAGCAAATCCTATTAAGTCCTACTAGAATTTATATCCTAATTCTGAAGGCACAGCACTACCAGTAGAATACCAAAATAAGAATGCTGAACTCGGAGCAGACCGTTAATTCAGAACACTGAAAAGACTAAATAACAGCATTTGTCACTTCACATGCAACCGCTCTAAAGAAAAACATCAAACAAATGACTTGCATCTCATTCACTGAGTTTATACTCAACATAGGAATGCCAAATGGAAGAAAACTCTTATTTTCTGAATTATTTACCTCAAGAACTAGCCAAAGCTGGTCTCCATTTTTCACATCTTTCTTATAATACATGCCATAGAATTTGACTACATTGGGATGGTCAGAGAGAGCTTTCAAAATGTTGTACTCGGCTTCAATTTCTTCATCAATATCCTAGTGTCACAAATGAGAAATACATAGTGGTTAATAAATAAATAATGATAGCTATTTAAAAAACCCAACACATAGCATTTTCTGGCTATTCAAATGTAGTTTGAAATAATGCAAAGAAAAAAAACGAACAGAACATGAATGTACCATTTGCAGGGCTACAAAGCTTAGTTCTGTTTACTCAATACAAAACAGTCATCTGGTTTTTTACTTGGTCTTTATCAATTTCAGCTAACGAACACACCGGGTATGACAAAGCAGCCCTCAGGAGAATGGGGAAGGAGCATTTCAAGGCAAAGCCAGTGCAATCCACAAGTGGGTAGGTATGCAGATGCCTCGGGAAGTCACATGTCACTTCTCTAGTCTCAAGGGTATCCCCAGCTAGAGATGATGCAGCTGGAATTACCTCTCCACCCCTCTGTGAACAAACAAGTATGACTGCAGCCACATCTTACTCATTTATCATCCCACTTTCTAGAATCATCTGGGAATTTTTCTCATTTTTTACTATCACAGAAATTGGTGACATACATGATCTCTCTGGCTTCTCCTACTGAGCTATAAGAGTTGTGGCTTTTTGTCAGTCTTTCGTTACAGACCTCGGGTTTCTTACACAGCGAGGGAAATACATTTGGAGGTGAGAGATGAGAACAAGTTTTGCCAACACATGCACCAGGAGCTGTGCAAGCCCTTTCAGACCAAACATAGATGCTAGCAACGGTGGGCACTGGATGACTCAGGTAACCCCTTCCACCTATGCACTGGAATTGCTCATTGAGGGACACTATCAGACTGTGTTTCAGTGATGCTGAGAAATATTCAATACATCCTGGCCACAGGTAGAGGCAGAATAGCTGCAGTCATTTTCCCCCATTGTTTAGATCTCAAAATAAATGTTAACATACTTGTTTCCAAATTTAAAATATTTTTAATACAATTTGCTACTTACACCCACCCAAAAAGAAATAGAAATGAAAAATCAATTCTAGAGGAAGGCTACCTATGAACTCCACTATCCATACGAATGGATTTCGTATCAATGAAAAGCACCTACTCAGTGCCGAAAACCCGTCTCACCGCTGCCAAACAGAAGTGACCATGGCAGAGAAAAGGGATGCTTTGTATTCCCAATGAATGACACTCCTTCTCATTTTGTTCACCACCAAAGGCATCTGCCCTAAGAGGACTTTGATCGCTTGTTTCTTATACAGGTCTCTCCAATGCTAAATCCAACTCAAGTTCCTCATACTAGCCTTTTGTCTTGAGACTGGTCTCAAAGAACTTTGCCTGTCACCAGTATCTTCAGGAATTGGGCCATTAAATTTTTGTATTGAGATTACAAGAGTAAGTCTTCTCACAAGGAAGGGTTTTAGAGATTTTTTTATTGGAGTAACCAAAAACCAGCAGAAATTTTCCTCTTTCAAAAAAAGGAGGAACTCACTTTAAGTTAATTTTCAAATAAGCACAACACAGAATACAGCCAATAAAAAAGGAGATGCAAGGAAGGAAGAAAGAACCAAGGCACTGAAGGTGGCAGAGGAAGGAAAGGGAAAGAGTGGAAGTTAAGAAGGGATGAAGAGAGAAAATGCATCTGGCAAAAACAAAAGGACAGATCATATAGCAAAAAAACCCCCCAAAACTACCCATGAAAAAAACAGAGTTGAAAGCCAAAAAACTACACACAAAACATACAGTAGCCCTGGCTGCCTTGGGGAAATTGGAAGAGAATTAGCCCACTGTCCTACCGTGATTTAATAGAGGTTTTCACCTCCTGAAGGGTACTTATTTATGAGATTTTTACTATTATAAAGAGAAATGAAAAGAGAGAGAATGAAATGAATAGAATATTCATTCTGTGCATACTAGAAAGAAAAATATTCCTCTGCATTTTATGAAGGAAGAGAACTTGAAATACTTGTTTGAAATTGAACATATTTACCTGCATAAGAGTACCTGTTTCAGAAACGGTAAAGGGAATATTTCCATGTGAACTTAGGATAATTTGGCTAAGAGCCCTAAAGTGCAGTGGTATTTACTTATAGCCCTGAGGACAAGACTAAGAGCATTCTCAGTTCCATCTTCATATATTCTCACTTCAACACCTTCACTTTCCTGTTTCAGTTTCAAAAAACTGAGCTGTTATTCAACACAAAGAACCTGAGAGCTCTAAAGGATTAAACATGAAATGCTTATTTCAGTCTCACATCACCCATGATAATGTAGTTTCCCAGTTTAATTTGGAAATATCAGTTAAACCAAGTGATATAAAAACACGTTTCTTCTGCTTGTTTTTTCAGTCCGGCTCTCAAGTGGCACAATTCTGAAACCATCTTCAAAGAAAAAAACTGTAAAATTTAACAAAGAAAATACAGAAAGTAGTTATCTTTCTTCATTGCAATGGCTCCCTCTGCAGCCATTAATAATACTTTCCATTTAAACAGAAAGAACTGTTTATTGCTTTCACCCTATTTCTAATATAGGACTGCCATTTTAACAGTAACATGGAGGTACAGCAGCTACTCCAGACATCCTGTAAATAGGAAGGAAGAAAAGAAGAA